ATATTCTGGTGCTCCTCATCATGTTTCAGAATTTAATAATCTGGTGCTGACAATGTTCCATTGCTATTCATATGGTTTTCAGTAACTAAATATTTGGAAGTAGCCTGTCTCTCCTACTTCCTAGTCTTTCTTCACCTGGAAGCTCAGCTGAAACCTGTCCACCATGGGTGACCCTGCTGATATTTAAAATACCGATGTCATAGTTTCCAGAATCACAGCAACACACAAGACACCACACTATGACAAACTGATAGATGAGTGGTTGTTATTAGTAATGCTCATTCTAAATTTACTTGCCAAAGATGGGGAAACTAAAATGTAAATGAAAGATTAGAGTGCCCAGCTACTATTGCATTGTTATTCCATAGGAGATTCTGCAGGTGAAATTTTCAAACAAGAGTAATAATATGACAATTATAAATTCTCTTTGTATTCGCATCTTTTAACAGTCCCAGTTTGGGAACATTTAGAAGAAGTTGAAGAAAGTATACAGTTTGTACTTTAATGCATTCAAAACTAGGTTATAGCAAGTTGCTATGAAGATTTACTGATCAAGAAGTTTTTAATAGCTTATAAAATTGTGTATCTTTACTAATATAACAAAATATCTGAGCCTGAAACTAGAAGGGAAATAAAGCTCTGTAGAAATGGTTAATGGAATTTAAATAGAACATGTGGATTCAATTTATATGGAAGATGTCCATTAAGCACACAGCAAGTAAAGAATACTCATTTTCCATTCCTACACCCTCTAAAACCCAGCAAGGTACAGATTTTGAGCAATTTCAGAATTCGTAGGATTCTTCGGTTACTTTTGATAAGTACATATTATGCAGTTAAATTTTTGTAATTGCCATTAGAATTAGAATATAAACCTCAACGTAATCTCAAATCCCAGGCATCTGCCGTAGTAATATGGGACTCACCTTCAAAAGTATCAGAATAGCAAACCAGCTATGCTCAAAAAGAATACTTAGAATTTTGGAAACTAATGTGCAAATCCCAAAGATACCCCCAAAATACATTTAACTTGACTCTGTAAACGTCCATTCTTTTATCAAACACTGGGATCAAGCAAACATAAGTGATATAAATGTAGTAAGTCTAAATTGAGATATGCTGTAGCTGATTTTCAATAACTAGTATGGAGAATCTTTTAAATCTTTAAATGCTTTTCATTCTTCATTAGCAATTACGGCTGTTAACTGTTCCACTCCTTCAATCCTTTGCAAATACTTCTCGGGTACTTATTCTATGTCAGATTCAGTATCATATCTTATGGTTAGAAATACTACAGTGGACAAATCAGACACAGTTTATGTCTTCATGGCAATCACATTCTAGTAAGCATGAGAAACACTAAATAAATGTTGACACAAATTTTAAATGCAATTGTGGTTAAGTGCTTTGAAGTACACTAACTATGATGTGGTACCCAACTGGCTATATGATCTTGGACCTTAAATTTTTTCATCTGTAAAATGTTGTTGTAGTGTGTCGTGGAGTCAGTTCTGACTCATAGCGACCCTGCACAGGGTTTCTGAGGCTGTAAATCTTAACGGGAGCAGAAAGCCTCATCTTTCTCTTGCGGCACAGCTGGTAGTTTCTAAATGCTGACGTTGAGATTAGCAGCCCAATTCGTAACCACTACAGTAGTAGCATATTCTAAATTAACTATCAAGAACAACTAGTAGAGAACAGTATGTGCATAAATTATCTGTATCAGATTTACTTTGGAGACTACTTCAAATATACATGCTCAGACCCTAATATAGAACATATGAGGTAAAGCCTGGGAATGTGTGCTTTTAGCAAGCTTCTCAAGTAATTCTAATAACGCTAATGTTTTAAGAATTTGATCACAGAGTAGAAAAAATCATATTGTGAAAAATGGCTTCAGAGTGAAACACATTAGGATACGAACTGTAATGAACCTTACCTGTGTAGCTTTGTCTTTCATGCAGGGTGCAGCTTGTCCATGACTATCACGAGGCCAGTGTCCTGCAAGGTATGGAGCAGCAAGTGTATCTAAAGAGGAAGTACGGCGGATGATACTGGAAGGGCTTGAAGAAGGTGGTCGTGCTTTGTCACCTAGGTTTAAGATAAAAATATTTATTATTAAAAAAAAAAAGATTAGGAAGGAAACAAAGCAGATTCTGAGTTTTAAATTATAAAGAATAACTAATAGAACAGAACCAGCTATTGCTACACATAATAACTTGGATAAATCTTCAGGGACTCATGAAAATAGCCAAACCCTAAAGTTTACAGGTATGTATTTAACATTTTAAATTTAAAATATTTTAGAAATAGAGTAAATGTTAGTGGTTGCCAAGGGTTAGGGATGAAGGAAGAGGGTGAGGAGGCAGGAGAGAGGTAGGTGTGGTTATAAAAAGGGAAACATAAGAGACCTTTGTGGTATTAAAATAAAATGTATACTCAAACATATGGGAGATTAAACTACATATAATTTAGCACAGACACATATACATACAAATTAATGTAAGTAACACTGAGGAAATTTGAATAAGATCAGTGGATTGTACCAATGGCAGTTTTCTGGTTGTAATATTACACAACTTTATAAAATGTTACCATTGGGAGAAACTAGCAAAACATCTATTATTTCTTAATAGTTCATGTCATATCATACAGCTCTCATTTAAGGATAAATAACCTTCATTGTTGTTATTGTTGTTGTAGGTGCTATTGAGTCGGTTGTAACTCATAGCAACCCTTTACGTAAAGGGTTTTCCGAGGAGTGACTTATGAGCTTGAACTGCCGACCTTGCAGTCCAGTCCAGCATATTAACCCAAAAAGGCACACCAGGACTGAAACCTTCACTGACTCCTATAAAAAAGCCCAGCTCCTTTACAATTTAGTCTAACATTTGAGTATCTTATCTTTAAGCAATAGAGCAAGAAGCTTTGGTAGCGTAGTGGTTATGAATAGGGCTGTGAACAGCAAGGTCAGCAGTTCGAAACTACCAGCCACTCCGTGGGAGAAAGATGAGGCTTTCTGCTCCTGTAAAGATTTACAGCCTCAGAAACCCTGTACAGGATCGCTATGAGTCGGAACCGATTCGACGGCACAGCTGGTAGTTCAAGCTCATAAGTCACTCCACGGAGCAGCTGGTAGTTTTGAACTGCGAACTGCAGTTCACAGCCTGATTCGTAACCACTATGCTACCAGAGATCCTTGTACATGTATATTGGGGGGGCGGGGGGAGGATCAAATAGACATGAAAAAATAAAAATAAAAACAAACAGAACTTCTGTTAATAAACAATATATTCACTTAAATTAAAACTCAATGGATAGGTTCAACAGAAGACTAGGCACAGCTTAATAGAGTATTAGTGAGCTACAAAACAGACTTATATACAAAGAAACACAATAATTCAAGATGTAGAATGAAATAAACTCATTCTCAGATGAACACTAAGAATATTTATTATGCAGTGAAACTCTACAAAAATCACTGCATTGCAGTGAATTACTCAGTAAGACCTTACTTAGCCATAGTCTCTGTAACTCCCACCAAATGAGTAGGCAGAACTATGTAAATTTGAGGTACTTGTGACCCACCAAGGGGACTGGGTAGCTTGCTAATAAGGTAAATAAGGTACACAGAATCACTGCAGGGTTGGGACCACAAAAATAAGATGCATGGAACTCTAACGTGGGAATTGATCAGTTTTGCCACACTGCTAAGCTTAAAATGAGCCATCCTACAGGGAAGGGAGGAGAATCTCACTACCATTAAGAAACAAGAGCCAAGCATGGAGCATGTCCTTCAAACCCTAGATCCCTGTACTGAACCTCCTCAATCCAAGAGACAGAGATGTTACACTGTGACTGCCTTTAGACCAAGGCTTACTGGTGGAGTGGGAGGCCTCTAGGCACATAATTGGCAGAATTAAGAGAGCTTTAGGATAGGCACTAGAGACTGCTAACCTCAGGTGACTGGTTCAATCCTTAGAAAATTTATACAGGGTCACTCTGAATTGGTACCAACTCAATAGCACTTAACAACAACAAACAAATATAACACTTGCTAGAGTAGAGCAAAGGCCAAGGGACCACAGAGTCAAAGGACCATAAGGGTGTACCTAGGGCTGAGAGGAAGCTGACCTGATCAAAGACCTATATCCTGAGCACTCCTGATCCAAATCTGTAACCTGCTACTTCCATAATAAACTCCATAAACGTGAGTATGGTCTGTGAGGTCTGTGTGGCCATTGCAACAAATTATTAAATTCACCAGAGTAAAAAGTGCCGTGGCAAACTGGTGAAGAGGTTGGAGGGTGGAGACATGTCTGACCTCCGCCTTAAAGGACCCAGCGTTGGGCTGAAGGTAGCTGTGATTTTCCTCCTCCCCTTTGGGAAATCATAGGTGGTCAGATGATACTCCCACACAATTTTTGCAATCATTTAAAGGAAGGCATCACAGAAAGAAGGAAATTGAAACTTAGACAAGAGCAGTAGGGTTTAACAAACATTGACATTCAGGGCAACCAACAAACATATGAAGAAATGCTCACGATCACTAGCCATTAGAGAGATGCAAATCAAAACAACAATGAGATATCATCTTACACCAACAATAACAGCAAAGATGAAAAATGGAGAAGACAATAAATGCTGGC